GATATCAATATTATTTCATTTTTCATTTTCTTTTAAGGTAGGATTAATATTTCATATTTTAGTTGGTTTATATTTATATTTTCTAATAAAAAAGGAGTTTATTTTTGTCAGTTTTTTGTTTTTTTTCCTATTCATTATTTCCTGAGGAGGCGCAAGCCTTGGTAATACTGACTGAAGGCGTACAGGGCCCCCCCCTGAGTAAGCCCTTCAACAAGTGGTGACGTTGCCAGAATCAACTCGACTGAATTCAAGATTCAACTCACATCTCGAATCTACCATTGGAACTTCATCAACGCCGCATACCACTGACGGTTACCCATCCAGCCTTGAGTAATCATTCTCTAGTAGACTAACATACAGGTATTAAAAGATTTTGATGATTGTTAGGCTCAATTTATTAGTATGCAAGTCAGGCAGGATATAATAAATTTAATTCTGTCCACCTTTTCGTTCGAGCTTGAAACATTTTGGAGATTAGACTCTAGGGACCCGAGATTTTTCCAGTGACAATTTTGTTTCATTGAGCTCTTTATTTTATCAAGGAACTGTCGTAGGAAACCACCTCTTGATTTGTTGTGAGAAGAATGGATGGTCAATTGACCCCATTCTACTGTACTGTTTGCTCGGAGCCGCAAAGAAACCTTCGTTTTCATTAATACATTTAGTTAATTGAAGCAGTGATCGAGGCCCTCTGGTTTATTTACTATCTAGTTTTAGCAGAGAGGAATATGTAACGCCGTCTCTTTCTTTAATACCCGTTCCCATTTCCCCTGATAGTTTAGTTATTCTTGCAAGTATGGAGATACCAGTTTTTGGAATGAAACGCCTGGAAGTAAGTTAGGAATAACAGGGAAACATGTACAAAATCTTTCATTAGTGCTAAAATCATGAAAGAATTTGAGAGAGAAAGAGAACAGTTAGAAAGGGAAAGACAGGAGAAAAGGAGAGAGAGAAAATCGAAAGAGAAAGAAAAGTGAGAAAAAGAGGCCTTGAAAGACAGAAAAAAAGAGAGAGAGAGAATTGAGATGAGAAATCCGAGAAAGACAGAAAGAGGGGCGAAAGACCAAAAAGAGCGTGATAGACTTGATCGTGAGAAAGAGCTAGAGAACGTGAGGAAGAAGCTAAGATACATGAGGAACAGGTTTTAAATTATAAGAACTTGAGAAGAAGCAAAGAAAGAGACAGAGTTAATAGAGAGAGAAAAGGATCGCGAGCTCGAAAAGGCTCGCCTTTGAATTAGAGAATAAAAAGTAACTTTTACAAACAATAGAGGAATGAGTAATTGAACATCCAATGCAGCTATTGCACATATTCCAACACCTAATTTACCTCCCTTCACAGAGGGTGAAGACATTACTTCATACATTATCAGGTTTGAAAATACCGCTACCCTCTGTGAATGGCCTGCTGACACCTGGGCTACCAGGTTAGGAATGTTATTTTCTGGTACAGCCTTGAATATCTGTGCAACTTTGTCGCAGGATATCATATGTAATTATAACCTACTGAAGAAGGCAATCCTTAAAGCATATCAAAAAACCACTAATTCTTACAGGAAAGATTTCAGGTATGCCACCTTACAGCCTGGCCAGAACTTTCAGCAGTTACAGGTAACACTTTCATTTGTTCGACTTTAGGATAGTGAGTTCAGGAATTGATCACAGTTATGAATCTCTTAGAGACTTCATGGTTGCTGACCAGTTCCTGACAGCTCTTCCTCACCAGATAAGAACATTCATAAGAGAACGTAACCTGGTTAAAGCTGAAGAAGTTGCTGAGGCCGCTGACTTGTATGCTGAGGCTCACAATTCCTATAAAGACCTAAAGGGATCGAACACTGTAGTGATGCAGTAGTATAGTGAACACTGTAATGATGCAGTGGTATAGTGAACACTCTAGTGCAGTAGTATAGTGTACCCTGTAATGATGCAGTGGTATAGTAAACACTGTAGTGATGCAGTAGTATAGTGAACACTGCAATGATGCAGTGGTATAGTGAACGCTGTAGTGAAGCAATAATAGAGAGAACACTGTAGTGATGCAAAAATATAGTGAACACTTCAGTGATATCATAATATAGTGAACACTGTGGTGATGGGTGATGCAGTAGTATGGTGAACACTGTTGTGATGCAGTAGTATAGTGAACACTGTGGTGAAGCAGTAGTATGGTCAACATTGTAATGATGCAGTAGTATAGTGAACACTGTTATGATGCAGTAGTATAGTGAACACTTGTGATACAGTAGTATGGTGAACACTGTAATGATGCGGTAGTATAGTGAACACTTGTGATACAGTAGTATAGGGAACACTGTAATGATGCAGCAGTATAATGATCACTGTTGTGATGCAGTTGTATAGTGAACACTGTGGTGATGCAGTAGTATAGTGAACACTGTTGTGATACAGTAGTATAGAGAACACTGTTGTGATGCAGTAGTATAGTGAACACTGTTGGGATACAGTAGTATAGTGAACACTGTGGTGATGCAGTAGTATAGTGAACACTGTTGTGATACAGTACTATAGTGAACACTGTAATGATGCAGTAGTATAGTGAACACTGTTGTGATACAGTAGTATAGTGAACACTGTAGTGATGCAGTAGTATGGTGAACACTGTAGTGATGCAGTAGTATGGTGATCACTGTGGTGATGCAGTAGTATAGTGAACACTGTAGTGATGCAGTAGTATGGTGAACACTGTGGTTATGCAGTAGTATGGTGAACACTGCAGTGATGCAATAGTATAGTGAACTCTGTGGTGATGCAGTAGTATGGTGAACACTGTAGTGATGCAGTAGTATGGTGAACACTGTAATGACGCAGTAGTATAGTGAACACTGTTGTGATACAGTAGTATAGTGAACACTGTAGTGATGCAGTGGTATAGTGAACACTGTAGTGATGCTGTAGTATAGTGAACACTGTAGTGATGCAGTAGTATAGTGAACACTCTAGTGATGCAGTAGTATGGTGAACACTGTAGTGATGCAGTAATATTGTAAACACTGTAGTGATGCAGTAGTATGGTGAACACTGTAGTGATGCAGTAGTATGGTGAGCACTGTCATGATGCAGTAGTATAGTGAACACTGTTGTGATGCAGTGGTATAGTGAACACTGTAGTGATGCAGTAGTATGGTGAGCACTGTCATGATGCAGTAGTATAGTGAACACTGTAGTGATGCAGTGGTATAGTGAACACTGTAGTGATGCAGTAGTATAGTGAACACTGTAGTGATGCAGTAGTATGGTGAACACTGTAATGATGCAGTAGTATAGTGAACACTGTAGTGATGCAGTAGTATAGTGAACACTGTAGTGATGCAGTAGTATAGTGAACACTGTAGTGATGCAGTAGTATAGTGAACACTGTAGTGATGCAGTAGTATGGTGAGCACTGTCATGATGCAGTAGTATAGTGAACACTGTAGTGATGCAGTGGTATAGTGAACACTGTAGTGATGCAGTAGTATAGTGAACACTGTAGTGATGCAGTAGTATAGTGAACACTGTAGTGATGCAGTAGTATAGTGAACACTGTAGTGATGCAGTAGTATGGTGAACACTGTAATGATGCAGTAGTATAGTGAACACTGTAATGATGCAGTAGTATAGTGAACACTGTAGTGATGCAGTAGTATGGTAAACACTGTAGTGATGCAGTAGTATGGTAAACACTGTAGTGATGCAGTAGTATAGTGAACACTGTGGTGATGCAGTAGTATAGTGAACACTGTGGTGATGCAGTAGTATAGTGAACACGGTGGTGATGCAGTATAGTGAACACTGTAGTGATGCAGTGGTATGGTGAACACTGTAGTGATGCAGTAGTATGGCGAGCACTGTAGTGATGCAGTAGTATAGTGAACACTGTAATGATGCAGTATTATGGTGAACACTGTAGTGATGCATTAGTATAGTGAACACTGTAATGATGCAGTATTATGGTGAACACTGTAGTGATGCATTAGTATAGTGAACACTGTAGTGATGCAGTAGTATAGTGAACACTGTAGTGATGCAGTAGTATAGTGAACACTGTAGTGATGCAGTAGTATCGTGAACACTGTGGTGATGCAGTAGTATAGTGAACACTGTGGTGATGCAGTAGTATGGTGAACACTGTGGTGATGCAGTAGTATAGTGAGCACTGTGGTGATGCAGTAGTATAGTGAACACTGTAGTGATGCAGTAGTATAGTGAACACTGTGGTTATGCAGTAGTATGGTGAACACTGCAGTGATGCAATAGTATAGTGAACACTGTGGTGATGCAGTAGTATAGTGAACTCTGTGGTGATGCAGTAGTATGGTGAACAGTGTAATGATGCAGTAGTATAGTGAACACTGTTGTGATACAGTAGTATAGTGAACACTGTGGTGATGCAGTAGTATGGTGAACACTGTAATGATACAGTAGTATAGTAAAACACTGTTGTGATACAGTAGAAATAGTAAAACACTGTAGAAAATGCAGTAGTATTGTGAACACTCTAGTGATGCAGTAGTATGGTGAACACTGTAATGATGCAGTAGTATAGTGAACACTGTTGTGATAGTAGTATAGTGAACACTGTAATGATGCAGTAGTATGCCGAACACTAGAGATGCAGTAGTATGGTGAACACTGTAATGATGCAGTAGTATAGTGAACATTGTTGTGATACAGTAGTATAGTGAACACTGTAGTGATGCAGTAGTATGGTGAACTCTGTAGTGATGCAGTAGTATGGTGAACACTGTAGTGATGCAGTAGTATGGTGAACACTGTAGTGGTGCAGTAGTATGGTGAACACTGTAGTGATGCAGTAGTATAGTGAACACTGTGGTGATGCAGTAGTATAATGAACACTGTAGTGATGCAGTAGTATAGTGAACACTGTAGTGATGCAGTAGTATAGTGAACACTGTAGTGATGCAGTAGTATAGTGAACACTGTAGTGATGCAGTAGTATAGTGAACACTGTAGCGATGCAAAATATATGTTTTGAATTTATACAAATAATGCTCCAGTGTATTTTGTTTTTTCAATTTATGCATTATGTACGAGTTTGATTATTTTCTAGTCATTACAAAACTCCGTTAAATATTGTTAATAAAAATCGTAGTTTCAACAGTGGTGGAATTTTCAGCTAACCAAAATAATTACAAATGCTTTTGTAAAGGATTCATTACTAATTCATAAATTAAAGTGACATCGTGGTAATGTTTGTATTTTTCAGACAGATGGTATATTATTATTATAATAAAGGGGGAAGCGCTAAGCCCGTAGGGTTATACAGCGCCTGGGGAAGAATGTGGAAGGCATTCAGGCTTAATTCGGGGAACTGGAGCACAGATCCAATTCCCTAAATCAAGAGGACAGATGGCATAGTTTCCTGTCTTATTGTTGGTTAACTGTAACATTGTGTTCTACCAGAGACAGCGATGGGACGCAGCATCAATGCTCAGGAAGACAGTGAATCACAATACGTTCAAGCTGTCAGGAAGTAAGTTTGCCGATGCTAAGTTTCAGTGACTTCAAACTTAACTTGCTGGTGTATTTCAGGTTATTAGTTTCTCCTCTATAACACGAGAATACCAAAATTTACCAATTATTAAAATTGGAATATTAATTAAGATGTGATAAGAAAGCATTTAATACTTATGCTTTGTTTCACGATTTCAACTCTAATATTTAATTGCATTAGAAACTTCTGCCGCACTCTGCACTAATCTTTTCACATGCATTGACATACAGGAGGGTAGAGCTAAGCAACTCTGGAATTCCTTACTTGGATCACACAGTAATTAAAATACATCTATATATTATTACATCTAATAGTATACTGGTACTCGAGTTTTAGTTAACAATTGTGAGGCGCATCACTGAGGTGGTAATGTACAGGAGATACAACTATTGTTAGTAATATGACTAGACATTAAAACACCTCCTTCACTCTACTGCTGTATTACCCATACAGGTTTATCACACTTTTGTCAATAATAATTATGATAAACTACTATTAATTATACTACTATTAATAATAATAATAATAATAATAATCATCATAATTAAAATAGGAAAAAAATAATGAATTAACTAATGTATTAAGTAATAAAAATAATTATTATTAACATTATTATAATTATTACTTGGTTGTATCTGTTGCAGAAATAATAATATTAGCATTATATATTTAACTGTTTAATTTGTTTCAATTCCTGCTGCTCTTCCATGAGAGAATTATTATATCCAACAATTGTCCTGAAAAAATCTTTCTAAACATTTAAAACCGTTCAGTTTAAATTGTCTCTTAACACTAATAAATATTTTATTTCTTTGTAGAAGGGAATATTTAGTTAAGTTGGACAAAGAATCGATACAAACTTATTAAAGTTAATGTGAATGGTTGAAATTACTTGTAATCCAATATACTTGAGCAGGATGACCAGGTACGTTCATCAACGCATTTTTCGTCCCTGGCTACACAACGACTTCATGTACAAGCTTCTGGGACCTGCCAAAGATTTTGAAGCTTGCCTAAAAGTTCTCCACAACATGTCCAACAGCACCATCAAGGAGAGGAAACAAAACAAAACCATCGAGAATAAATCAGTCATTGGAGAGACGGAAGAAAAATACGGTAAGTTATATGTTCGAATGCCATTTCAGTGAGATGATAGAAACATAATAAATAAGCATATATATATATATATATATATATATAATATATATATATATATTATATATATATATAATATATATATATATATAATATATATATATAGTAAGATCACAGTAAACAGGTGATTTCAGAATATGCAAAAAATACACTGTGAAAGAATAGAGAAATTTCAAGCGCTTTCGTGACTACTCACATTATCAAGGAACAATGAAAGTAATGCATCAAAGGAAGGTATATAAAGGGTCTAGTCCACACCTCACTATCACATCCCACAACAAAGCAACACCAGACGCGCGACCCATAAGAAAAGGAACACTGCAGCAGGCCCGCTGGCCCAACTAGACAGGTCCTTCACACAACCCACCAACAAACTATTCTACCCAAGAAATAAGAATTTTTAAAATTCATTGTTTGTCCAACGTATTATTAAATTCTTTCCAAATTCTATTAATTTTAAATGGATCTAATTTATATAAACCAAAGGAAATATTCATATTATTGTCAAAACTGGTTTTTATGAAACAAGATTCAATTATATTTCTGTCAACCATGGACTTGCTTGATACTACTTTCTCAACTTTTTGAAAATCAATTAGATGGTTAAAATCTCTCACATGAATAAATAGAGCATTGGAATCTTGTCCAGTTCTAATGCTATATTTATGTTGTTTTAATCTTAGTTCGAGATTTTTACCAGTTTGATCGTAATAAGCTTTATCGCAAATTTTACTAGGAATCTTATAGACACATCCGTCAGCATTTTGGGGGGAATTCTTTATCAAAAGTTTTTTTTACTGTATCAAGATTTTTAAATATTTTTATTATTTTATTATCACACTGGCCGATTCCCAACGAGGCAGGGTGGCCCGAAAAAGAAAAACTTTCACCATCATTCGCTCCATCACTGTCTTGCCAGAAGGGTGCTTTACACTACAGTTTTTAAACTGCAACATTAACACCCCTCCTTCAGAGTGCAGGCACTGTACTTCCCATCTCCAGGACTCAAGTCTGGCCTGCCGGTTTCCCTGAACCCCTTCATAAATGTTACTTTGCTCACACTCCAACAGCACGTCAAGTATTAAAAAACATTTGTCTCCATTCACTCCTATCAAACACGCTCACGCATGCCTGCTGGAAGTCCAAGCCCCTCGCACACAAAACCTCCTTTACCCCCTCCCTCCAACCTTTTCTAGGCCGACCCCTACCCCGCCTTCCTTCCACTACAGACTGATACACTCTTGGAGTCATTCTATTTCGCTCCATTCTCTCTATATGTCCGAACCACCTCAACAACCCTTCCTCAGCCCTCTGGACAACAGTTTTGGTAATCCCGCACCTCCTAACTTCCAAACTACGAATTCTCTGCATTATTTTCTCACCACACATTGCCATCAGACATGACATCTCCACTGCCTCCACCCTTCTCCTCGCTGCAACATTCATCACCCATGCTTCACACCCATATAAGAGCGTTGGTAAAACTATGCTCTCATACATTCCCCTCTTTGCCTCCAAGGACAAAGTTCTTTGTCTCCACAGACTCCTAAGTGCACCACTCACCCTTTTCCCCTCATCAATTCTATGATTCACCTCATCTTTCATAGACCCATCCGCTGACACGTCCACTCCCAAATATCTGAATACATTCACCTCCTCCATACTCTCTTCCTCCAATCTGATATCCAATCTTTCATCACCTAATCTTTTTGTTATCCTCATAACCTTACTCTTTCCTGTATTCACTTTTAGTTTTCTTCTTTTGCATACCCTACCAAATTCATCCACCAATCTCTGCAACTTCTCTTCAGAATCTCCCAAGAGCACAGTGTCATCAGCAAAGAGGAACTGGTGACAACTCCCACTTTATGTGTGTTTCTTTATCTTTTAACTCCACGCCTCTTGCCAAGACCCTCGCATTTACTTCTCTTACAACCCCATCTATAAATATATTAAACAACCACTGTGACATCACACATCCTTGTCTAAGGCCTACTTTTACTGGGAAATAATGTCCCTCTTTCCTACATACTCTAACTTGAGCCTCACTATCCTCGTAAAAACTCTTCACTGCTTTCAGTAACCTACCTCCTACACCATACACCTGCAACATCTGCCACATTGCCCCCCTATCCACCCTGTCATTACGCTTTTTTCCAAATCCATAAAGCCACAAAGACCTCTTTAGCCTTATCTAAAATACTGTTCACTTATGTGTTTCACTGTAAACAAACCCGGTCCACACACCCCCTACCTTCCTAAAGCCTCCTTGTTCATCTGCTATCCTATTCTCCGTCTTACTCTTAATTCTTCCAATAATAACTCTACCATACACTTTACGAGATATACTCAACAGACTTATTCCCCTATAATTTTTGCACTCTTTTGTCCCCTTTGCCTTTATACAGAGGAACTATGCATGCTCTCTGCCAATCCCTAGGTACCTTACCTTCTTCCATACATTTATTAAATAATTGCACCAACCACTCCAAAACTATATCCCCACCTGCTTTTAACATTTCTATCTTTATCCCATCAATCCCGGCTGCCTTACCCCCTTTCATTTTACCTACTCCCTCACGAACTTCCCCCACACTCTCAACTGGCTCTTCCTCACTCCTACAAGATGTTATTCCTCCTTGCCCTATACACGAAATCACAGCTTCCCTATCTTCATCAACGTTTAGCAATTCCTCGAAATGTTCCCTCCATCTTCCCAATACCTCTAACTCTCCATTTAATAACTCTCCTCTCCTATTTTTAACTGACAAATCCATTTTTTCTCTAGGCTTTCTTAACTTGTTAATCTCACTCCAAAACTTTTTCTTATTTTCAACAAATTTGTTGATAACATCTCACCCACTCTCTCATTTGCTCTCTTTTTACATTGCTTCACCACTCTCTTAACCTCTCTTTTTCTCCATATACTCTTCCCTCCTTGCATCACTTCTACTTTGTAAAAACTTCTCATATGCTAACTTTTTCTCCCTTACTACTCTCTTTACATCATCATTCCACCAGTCGCTCCTCTTCCCTCCCGCACCCACCTTCCTGTAACCACAAACTTCTGCTGAACACTCCAACCACTACATTTTTAAACCTACCCCATACCTCTTCGACCCCATTGCCTATGCTCTCATTAGCCCATCTATCCTCCAATAGCTGTTTATATCTTACCCTAACTGCCTCCTCTTTTAGTTTATAAACTTCACCTCTCTCTTCCCTGATGCTTCTATTCTCCTTCTATCCCATCTACCTTTTACTCTCAGTGTAGCTACAACTAGAATGTGATCTGATATATCTGTGGCCCCTCTATAAACATGTACATCCTGAAGTCTACTCAACAGTCTTTTATCTACCAATACATAATCCAACAAACTACTGTCATTTGCCCTAAAATTTTTATCTTGTATACTTTTTTAAAATTTTTTTAAAATATGTATTCCCTATAACTAAACCCCTTTCATAAAAAATTCAAAGGGCTCCCTTTTTCATTTACACCGGGCCCCCCAAGTTTCCCTAACCACACCCTCCAAAAAGTTTCTCCTATTTTTCTTTCAGGCCCCCTTCCAAAATTACCCTCTCACTTGGTTAAAAGGGTTTTCCTATACCTTCATTTAACATCCCCCAAAAACCCCCTCTCTCCCTCTACATTATCTCTTCTCCAGGTGCATACACGCTTATTTGCCCCAAATTTTCGAAACCAAAACCTTTCCTTTAATCCCCCATAAAATTTTTGAATTTACACATTCATATTCCCCTTTTCTTCCCCCCTTTTCCCTAACTGATCCTTGAACTTTTCTGCTACCCCTTCCTTTGCTCTAACTCTCTAGTACTCCAGATTTTAAAACCCATTTATTTCCCCCCACCCAAAACTCCCCCACCCCCCTTTTAGCTTTGGTTTTGCTTAGGGCCGGACATCCAACCCTTTTTTTCATTTATAAATCACAATCATCTGTTTTTTTGTTTCCGCACTACATCCACGCACATTCAAGCATCCCGTTTTTTAAGTTTTTCTTCTTTTTTTTAGTAAATGTCCCACAGGAGAAGGGAAATTTCTTCCCATTTCTCCCCGGGATTTTTTGTGCCTCATACGACACGCATGGGGTTACGGAGGAAAGAAAATTTTTTTCTACTTCCCCCCCGGACAATAGAAAAAAAATAGAAGAACAAACTATTTAGAAAAAAAGGGGAAAAACCTTTGATGTATGTAAAATATGTAGGGATGTGCAGTCTGTGAAATGTGTCCCAAAATTAATAGGAGGGAGCAAGATATCCCTGTTATCTAGCGTGTTTTTGAGGGCAGGAAAAAAAAAACCAATCCTACCCTCATGCAAAACAATTACAGGTTTTTGTTTCACAGTCATCTGGCAGGAAGGTAGTACTTCCCTGGTGGTTGCTGTCTACCAACCTACTACCTATTTTTAAATACAACTTTAATATAAGCTTTAAAAAAGAAGGCATATCAACCAAGTTTTCATGGTAAGGGAGAACCAACATATTTTTAGATTAATAAGGCTAGTTGTCCCCCCTTTGGATTGTAAAAAAGTATTTCTAACAAGTTTAAAAGATTTATCAGTGACGTTTCTTGGGTATTTCAAATCATTACCTATTTCATAAATTTTGGGATATTTCTTCATCTATGAATTTCTCGACTACAAAAAAACGTAAAGCTCTCAAAAACATTGATGAGAAAACAGACAGTTTAACTCTATCTTGATGGGAAGAATAATAGTGGACATAGGAACAGTTATTTGTAGGTTTTCTGTAAATTTTAAATTTGAATTCATTATTAATCTCAATAATTACATATATATAATATATATATAAAATATATATGTAAAAATATATATATAAAATATATATATATATATATATATATATATATATTATATATATATATTTTTTTTTTTTTATTATCACACTGGCCGATTCCCACCAAGGCAGGGTGGCCCGAAAAAGAAAAACTTTCCACCATCATTCACTCCATCAC